AATTTGAGGGGCTTTGAACATCAAGTCAGAGTTCTGGAACCTAGTTGAAAGCACAGGAAATAATGAAAAATTTTAGGCACGGGATTGATATGATCAAGTTAGGTCTTCAAGAGCTCACTATTGTTAATACGAGACTGGATTTAGCAGGTTGAACTAGGAGACAAGTTAAGTTTGCGCTCTTCAAGCAATATTGAGAATCTGAACTTAGACACTGACAGAATAAAAAACAGGGAAGAATCTAGAGATATTGAGTCATAAAATCAGCAGTATCGACATTAGCGGGACTGGCGATGTGGAGCATGATGGGAATGAAAAGGCACAGGGTAGAGGAGAAGCAGAGGGTAGGGAGATTCGAAGACTCTGGTCTCAGCAGTGAGTGAAGCATAGTCTCAATGAAGGTAGAGAATAAAGGAGTGATATTTGGTGACAGGAGGAAGGGCAGAGGAGATGATTTATTCATTATGAGACATGGAAAGTTTGAGGTCCTTCTAGAATATCAAAATGGAGATGAAAAGTTGCTTGTCTATCCACGTTTGACTTTAGAAAAAAAAAAAAAAATCTCAGCTGCAACTATCGATTAGAATAGAGCTGGCGACAAAAACCATGGGAAAGAATAAAACTGTCTGGGAAAAAGGGTGTAGAGGAAGTAACGGCCAATTACAGAACCTGGAGATCACCCAGGCTCCACTAAAGTGCAGAGTTGCTGAGAACTCTCTATCCCTAACCTGCAGCTCATAGAGCTGGACCACAGCCAGCATTGACTTTTGGGAATGGAGAACTCAGGCCCAAGTTTTCACTACGATGTTTGCACAGCAGCATTCAGAAAAAGTTTCAGTGATAAAAATGCTTTCTATATTACTAAAGGCCAAATTCTCAAAAATGCTCTATGGGATACTCTTTCCTCAGATTAATAGGTATTGCTCAAAAAAGTGGTGTAGTTTTCAGGGCATTACTCCTGCTAAAGTACATTATGATGTGCCAGAAAAAGGGTATAATATGCAACATTTCCCAAAGTTATCTGGCCATTGAACTTTTTATTTTTCTTTTTTGCATGATATCTTACTGAACTTTGCTTCTAAGGAACACATTTCAAGAGAAAATACGTACTACTAAGCATAAACTCATAAAAATCTGAAGATAATAGATAGG